CAAACAGCCAAAAAAGGCAGGCAAGCCAAAATGAAACGAAACAAAACGCTGGTGGGGCGAATAGAGCAACATTTTCCAGCAGCAGCAGCAACAGGAATACCAGGATCCAGGACAATGACAGCGAAAAGCCGGAAAATGCAACAAAAGCAACAAAAAAGCAATGGCACCAACAAAATGGCGGCTGTTAAAATGTGAAAAACGCTTCGAAAACTGTTTGAACAACAAGAAGCAGATGATCAGAATTGCGCGGCAGAAGGGGGAACATCAACAGGAGCTACAACAACACGAATACGTGCAACAGCAACGGTATTTAGGCTGCTCTAACGCCACGCGTTTTCCACCGACGCTGTGTCGCTTTGGCCTGAGATTGGCAACAAAACATTCCATCAGCTTAATTCTCATATGTCGCTGTATAAAAGCTGTATAAATATCATCGGTGGGAAAAGCGACGTGCAGCAGCATCACTATGCGGTGCGTGGCGTGGCATGTGTGTGTGTGTTGGAGTCTCGCTAAGTGCCTTTGCTCCTCCATCTTCCATCTCTGACTTTGTGAGCTACCCCCTACCTACCGCACACACAAACACACTCCCCACCCCGTTGATGGTCCTTGTTTGCCTGTTATGTTTTTTAGCGTTACGTAAATTGCGTAAATTGTGTGCATTTTATTACGCTACACTTCATGCTGTCACGCCTGCCCCTCCCCCACCCACTCCACCACACACATTCCACCACCCAATGCTATATCAACTCTTTTCTCTTGCTTTTTTGGCAACATTTCTTTTGGGCATGTGGATGTTGCTGTTGCTGTTGTTGCTATTGGAGCTGTCATCACGGAGAAAATGTCTTCGTCACTTTTATTAGGTGAGAACTGCTGATGTCGGTTTTGCTGTAGGTTGGTTTTTCGCATGAGAATTTTTTGGCGAAACACAAGTAATTCCAAATAAATTATTTGGATGCTGGCTTTGTAAGTGCTGGCAAAACTCTAACTCATCGGATATCTATTGTTAGTTTAGTTACAAAAAATGCTCTAATAATGTCGCTGGAATTTTTAGACAATTTTAGGCGAAATTGTTGGTGATGGTTTCGTAAATGGTGATGTTAAAATGCCTTCTGTAAATTCAATTTGTAAAGAAGCAGCTGTTTCTATTCGTATTATATCGGTGGGCACGTTTTCCAAATGGAGCTAATATAAATTTATTGTCTCACGATTACTCATAGGGCCGGCGGCCCCTGTCCCTTTCTTACCTACCCTTAATAACATACTCAGTTTTTGCTTTGGCTAATTGTTACGCCTGACAGCATCGCGTGACCAAAACCGAACGCTAAACGACGGAGACACAAGGCCCCAAGGGGCAGCCAAGAAGAGAAAACGACACGAAAACGAAAACCAAAATTAAATCGCAGGGCGCCAGCGAAATTCCACGCGACGCGACGCTACCCGACGCGATGTGACGTTCAAGTTCATTGCCATTTAGGCCAAAAATTGGCGTACGCGGAACTTGTCTTTTGACCAACAAACAAACAAACAAAAATAAAAAAAAATACAGAAATAAAAAAAAACCGAAATAACAAAACAGAAATAATCGTAGGCAGAAGCAGCCGTGTAAGCAGTGGCAGCAGTGGCAGCAGTGGGAGCAGCACAAACCAAATGAAATGCGGAGAGGCAGGCAGAGGCGGCAACAGAAGAAACACGGCTATTTTTGGGTGCGCACGTAGCAGTGGCAACAGCGGCAATTGCTGATGAAAATTGAGGCATTAAATTGCACACGATCGCGGCTTGAGGAGGGGTAGGACGGTGCGATGGTGCACACGGATCAAGGGAGAGAGAACTAGCCCGTGGCATATGCGGGGCACGTTCCCGTCTTGATAAATGCGAAAGGCATTTAACGCATTTTGTTGCAATTAATTTTGTGCCGTTTGCCGTTCCTCTCCTGTGCGTGTTTGAGGGAGTGTGAGGATTTTTGGTTGCCTGCCAAATGAAAGCCGAGAAAATGTTGATAGTAGCAATGGAAAATCCCGCATGTGAATCAAAACGATTTCATAAACTACAAACCCAGTGAACAACAACATTATGGGGCATAAGGAAAAACTGCACTTCCATCTCCTGTGCGGTGGCGACAATGACACGTGTACGACAAGAGCAACAGCAGCAGCAACAGCAGCAGCAACAGCAGCAGAAGTCAATGGGGAAAATGCACTCCAAAATGCAGTTGGAAATGCATTTAACATGGTCTCCATTCTGCCCCACGGGAGTACGGCTATGAGGGATGTTGCTTTTGATTTATTTGCATGACAAACGGGTTAATTACAGCATGTTGCGGCGGCACTGCAGCCAGCAGACAGCAGCAGCAGCTAACAAAAACAGGATTTTTTTTTGTACGTTTGTTTTATAGGCACACAATTGTTGCATGCTGCTCGCTGGCTGTCCGATGATGCAACACCAGTAAAACACACACACAAACATCGCTTTGTGGGCGTTTGAGATGGCGCCAGCAGACGCAAAACGAAATGAGAAGTACGAGGCATGCGGCATGCGGCATGAGGCATGTAAAATGGTAACGTCAATTGACAAGCTTGTCCCTGTGCGACGTTATGGCATCATAACGATCCACAACACACCCCTCCTTCGTATTTTTTTTTTGACCAGGAGATGCAACGTCATTTATAACCCACACACACACACTGCAGCACCACCTCTGATGCGAGCCACCCCCTCTTAATCGCCATTCCACTTTCCCCTTTGCATTGAGCCAAGTTCCTTTGTTATTTGATTGAGCTGGAGGACGGGTGGGACCGGGTACCGGGTCGCCCATAATGGAATTTTTATTTATTAAATGTGAGTCTCGCTGTCTGTCTCTCTGTCGTTGTCTGTCCGTTGTGTAATTTATCACAGGGCCAGGTCCCTGTCCAGAAGAGGGAATTTTCCGGGGGATTTAATGCACTGACAATGCCTGAGAAATGGCAGCAGAGAGAGACAGAGACGAGGGAGAGTGAGAGTGAGAGAGTGTATAATCGAATGGGAATTGGAGTGTGGCAATGCATAACGCATTAACAAACGGCTTTCGGCTGCACATTGGCTTTTGCGATTAACACGCATGGATACGTGAGTATCGCCGTATCCTTCTGGCCAGGCCTTAAACGCATCGTAACAAATTGTTGAATGCATTTTTAAATATAATTTTTTTAGTTGGTTTTCCCAGCCATGGCTGCCTTTTATCGGCATTATAATACATAACGAGTAAATGCCACAAATTGTTTAATGCGTTCGTATGGTTCTCAACCCTCAGCTCTCTCAGCTCTGAGCTCTGAGCTCTCTGCTCCCTCCCCTTTGCCGTGCCATGAACGATTTATGCAAATGCAACCAATGCACTTAGCGCCGTTAAATAAACAAAAGCATTATCAGCCACCAGGCAGAGAGGCAGAGCTCCAACACAGCGGCATATACGAGTATGTATGTATGTACATATAACGCAGATGCAGCTCCAAACCAGAAGGCAGCAGCAGCAGCAGCAGCAGCAGCATCAACCCAGAGCCAACAGCGGCCGAGTGGCAGTGGCACACACAGAATCACTGAATGCTGAATGCATTCTGAACGCAGCATGCAGAAATGCAAGACAATGCATTAAATTCCCTCCGTTTTGCCAAATGCAACAGCAACAGCAACAGCAACATAGCACACATCAAAAATTCACTATGCAACTTATCTAAATGCACTAAATTACACATTAAGCAAGTATCTTAAATCAGAGAGTCATACACACACACACACACACACACAATCTAAGCACATAAATACGTGTGTGTGTGTGTGTGTATGTATGCAAATTTCAGTGAGGAGGAGCAAGAGTGCGGAAAGATTGCGCAAGCAAATTGAGTTGCATGGCCATGGACTAGAGACTGGAGACTAGAGACTGCCTGGCCAACACTCTGGAGTCCGAGTACAGCAACGAGTGGGGCTGTGGGTGCCCCCAAGATGCTTAATTTGCGTGTGAGCATATACTTTTTGCACTCACTGTTGCTTTGTTGCTGTGCCCTGCATCGATTATGTAAATGCAAAAATTTCCATTAAATGCATTGAATTCCATTACGAACGCATCATCATCATCATCATCAACAGAAGCAGCGGCAGTAACAGGGGCAGTGCAAGAAACAAACAGAGAACAGAGACTAAGTGGAGATCAGCCGCCAAGTCTGGGTTACCCATTGTCTTGCGGCTGCGAATTTATAGCTTAACAACAAGTGCTCTTCCAGCAACAACAAGATGTGCTGGCAGATGCTGGCAGATGCTGCGGCTGGGGGCAGACAGGGTGCAGATGGGTATTGAGTCTGGAGTGCAACACAATGAAGTCATTTGCTTGTGGAATGCCTGGCCCCTGGCCTGGCCTGGCCCGGCATGCTTGAGTCACTGTTGTTCAGTCGACGAGCGACCCCAAAGGCGGTGAAAATGCTTAGCCCAAATATTGTAAAACGTTTACGGCGCGTCGTCGTCTCGCTCTTTCTTGAAGGTATTTTCATTAGCCAAACACAAATTGAAGCGACACGACACAAACCAAAGACCGAAAACCAAAAGAAAAACACTTAACATCAACACGAAAAAGGCTAAACAAGCAGCCAAGGCTAAGTAGGAGGGAGGGGAAGTCCGAGAGCCGAGAGCCGAGATCAGAGAGCGAGAAGAATCAACAACAACAACAACAACTAAAACTACTGTTAAAGATGTGCGGCCATTGCTGAGCCCCATGGATCCACCCTTCCAACAGAAGCCGAGATGGAGCTGGAGAGATGGAGCTGGAGATGAAGGCCTTTATCCAACAGCTGGCGGCGGGCACAATTTGCTTATGTGTGAAAATGCCCACCGGTGGGTTGCAGCTGCCGCAAATGTGCATCCAAATGCTTCTTTTGTTTGCCGGCTTTCACTTCAAAACTCAATGTGTGTGTTTGGCTATGCATTTCACACTTTGAGTGTGGGGAAAATACGAGTTTCCAGCCATGTGGGTCGGCATTGCCTATTCAATCAACCAACAGAAATAAAAAACTGAAAACTAAAAACAGAAATCGAACCGAATCGAATTGAATTGAATCCCAGAAAATATTCATAAAATAATGCCAAAAAAGGTGCTGGCAACACACTTTGCATTGGACGGGGAGAGGCCCAGCAGGACACTGATCCTGTTCATGTTTGCGATGGCCATTGTCATGAAGGTCGGCATCATAGTGGTGGAGTTGATGATCTAAGCGGTGGAACATTTAGGGGGATAATTACCTGCAACGAGAGAAGAAAAGAAGGTTACAAAATTAGTTACACACTCGTTTATCTTTGCTTTAATGTATGCTCCGATAGTAGCTGAAGAAAGTAAAGTAAAAAGGTGAATGGGAGCTGAAGAAAGTGATAAAAAAGGTAATCGGAGCCTGTCAAAAGTCATGCCGAAGTCAAGTGCAGTTTTGGGTTCGAGGGTAAATGCATCTCGGGTTTCATCGAGGGTAGGCAGCTACTTGCCTTTATCCTTCGGAAAAAAGGTCTTTCATTATTAGCCTGCCTTTGCCTTTTCAGCATTTGAGTTTTTCCCATTTTCCCTGCAGGCAAAACCACGAAACGATGGACAAGGAAAAGGACGGACGAGACGAGGCAAAACCGCACACATAATTTCATTTTTCCTGCTGTGCAAAACAGTGAAAATAATTTGACAACTTACTTAAAAATATGTCACATGAAGAAGGTCCACGACAAACCCCCAGCAAGCAAAAACCAAAAAGGGTTTCGCCATCACTTTGCTGGAAAATCAAAATGAAAATCCTGGAACGTGAACTTTTATTAAAAGCTGTCAGCACAACAAAAAAAACCTGAGACATTCCTGGGCGGGGACTTGGTGGGTGGTTGGGTGGGCTTCCATGCCTTTCGACCCGAAAGTTAAAATGTCATCGTTGCTTCATTAAGAATTCTCAGAATGCTTCTCACCTTATGGCTCAAAATTCCAGCCATGAGTGGCATAAAAAGTGCCATATTGGTGTGTCCTTTGATCAAACTTTGATCCATGTGCGATGCCACAAAAATGTGCACCTGTCTGGCCAGATTTCAGTCTGCTCTTTGATGTTGCTACTGCCACCTGAAATGGCGCATCAACCATGCATAAGACAGCGGAATTCACGACTCCATGCCCCAAATTAACTCAATTGACATACAGTAGCACGTGCCTCCAAAGAGAATACAGAGAGAGAGAAAGAGCGAGTGAGTTCTAGGATATGGATATAGTCCTAATTAGAATCGATTTGGCTCTGGGGAGTAAATTTTAATCTTACCCTATTTTACCCTTTTTCATACACACTTTTCATTCCTTTTTAGCTATTAAAAAACAATTAACAATTTCAAGCACTCAATAAAATATTTAAATTCAAAAGTAAAGTGAATCCTGGCCAACCCTTTTTGCCAGTATGGGATGTAAATATTGAAGGGGATAGAAGAACCCATAAAATGACCCAAAGGCGAAAGGCAAACACAATGATAAATTACAAATGGAATTGTAAAGGGGCGCAACAGCCAAAAGAAATTAACCAGCAAAGAGAGAGGAAGAGAGGAAGAGAGAGAGAGAGAGAGAGAGAGAGAGTGAGGAAGAACAAGTGAGAGAGTGAGAGAGCAAAGAACAATTAACAGCAACCAAAAACAGGACACGCCTTCAGACAGACACACACAGTCCATTTGTCCATGTTGACTCGATGATTACTTTCGCCATTGATTAATTTTCGCCCTCATCGATATAACTGCGTTGCTCTGGCAACCCTTTTTTCTGTCCTAATTTCATTTGCCGCCAGTGTAATTGCTGCTGGTGCCCCGACTGTGTGTGACACTCGGACACAGCCTCCCATTAAAGTCAAACCCACTTCTCACATAACCTCACCTCCACCTTCCCTGCTCCAGGGTTGCAACTCTCTCTAATCAGTGCATTTGATTAATGAGAAGCCCTCTCTTTTGTGTGTGTGTGTGTGTGTGTGTGTGTATAAGGTGTGTTTCTCCACCTTTAGGTTGGGAACCACAAAGTCATTTCCGCCAGTTTTTGGCCTGCTGCTACTCCAAGGGCCATCATTAATAACGAAAACCAATAAAAGTGTTGGCCGAGCATTTAAGCCAAAATAAGTTGTCATCATTAGCAACAGTTACAATCTGGCCAAAAGAACATTAGAACAGTGAAGAGCAGTTCCCATTTCCGCGTTCATTGAAACCCCATACGATTCCGAACATAAATCTACTTAGACCGGAACCGAAATGTCAACCATTTACCAGCCCAATAATACCCAACAAATAACTCAGGATAACCGATATAGGAACAACAGGAAACTGCCAAGTACAAGTCGCAACAACAATTTCTTTCGCTTACTTTGAAACAAATTGGCAACAATTGATGAATGTCTGGTAATGAGAACCAAAAGGAAAAAAAAACGAAAAAAAATTAAGACTAAACGCAACTAAAACTCTGTCAAAAGAGAAGCAAAAGGAACTGAAGGAGAACAAGCAGAGCAGAAAGGAAAAGCAGTCGCAAAATGTGGTGGCAGGAGACGGAGAAACAGAAGCCCAAAACTAGGCGCCAGAGCCAGAATGTATGGGGGGGCCTATAAATAAATAGGTTTTCCACAAACACACACACACACATACACAGAATAAAAATACAAATACAGATGCATGGACATGGTATTTAAAGTACAGTGAAGCCATTCCGAAAGCAATCTGTGTAAAAGTAACGTAGTCATTAATCATTATCATATAAACATCAATTGGTGTTTAGAGTGTTGCAGGGGCACTCGCACTCGCACCCGCACCCCCGACCGACTCTCTTGCCCCATGTTATTGATTGGCCATTCAGCTCTTCGCATCGGCTGTGGCTGTAGCTGTGGCAGTGGCAGTGGGGATGTGGATGGGTGTCTCTCAAGAAGTGCAGACAGCCAAAAAAAAAAAAGAAAGAAAAGAAGGAAAAATTGGAAAAGAAATCGAAATGAAATTTACCGTAAATAAAACCGTTTCCCAATAAAAGTGGATAGGAGCAACGGGACACAAGAGTAAGTAGAATGAAAAATTTAATTTATAACTGAAAATACATATACATATATAGTGGGAGTATTGGCCAGAAATCCTACTCGACCAGGCCAATTCCACTTCCTCTGAATGGAAAGAGTAGTGTGTCGAGGGGAGAGGGGAGGGAGAAGGGAAGAAAGAGCTATTGGTCGCTCGACGGAAGAGCCGACAGGGAGTTTTCTTCAAAGGTTTCCTGTTTGGCTCAATTCAATGCATTAAGGCCAAATCATCTTAGCTGAAATCAAATAAGAAAAAGAGACCCACACAGACAGAGAAAGAGAGGTAGAGTGGGACAAAACTATGTCTCGTAGAGATATAAATCAACAGAAAACAAGACAAATTTTGAAAGACTCCCCAAAAGAGGAGATAAAATGTTCCACCTAATCAAATACAGCAACGGCAGCGGCAGCAACAGCAGCAGCAGCGAATGGGGCAAGAAGACACAGAATTACATGTAATCAATTTGTCATAATAACCCGCAATGGTATTAGTGTGTATCTGTGTGCCGGAGGACAGAGTGAATGTATCGTATGGCAGCAGGACAAAATGAATCTATGTATCTTTTGGCAGAGTCATTTAGTGACAGTTAACCTTGGGAACCTCGCTCTGTCTCTCTGTAAGTCTCTTAGCAATGAAACCGCTCAAATGAGGCGCAAATCTTTAACACTGACAAAAGGTCCTCCACAGCATCTTCTTTCTTCTCTCAATCTCTCGCCGCTTGCCACATTTATCATCTCTGCCCCCATGTGTGGGCATTCCCTCATTAATATTTCATATTTATTTCAAGTTATTCCTCAGAACTCTGATAAAAGCCAATGAACTTATCAGCGAACAGCATTTCTTTTTCCTCTTTGATTATTTTTATATAATACAAAAATATAACAAAAAGTCAAGAATATAATATTGTAATATCGGGAATGTACATACATACATATACATATGAATGTTTATTGTTGTTTGTGACTTGGTTTTTTTTATCAGCATCAACAACAGAATTCCTTTTGCATACAGAGGGAAAGTGAGAAAGAGAACAGCCATCAATCATTATCATTGGGGCAATGGAAATGGAGGCCCTCCAACTTCCACAGCCTTCATTTCCACTATCCGCCTTCCTGCTGTGAGAGCTCTATCTTTGCCTGTGAGTTACAGAAGCCTTACGCATTTTCTGATATTTCCCTCGCATTTCATGGATTTTGAGCGGCCTTCTCGTTTTCCATCTCTTAAGCGTTTTTCTTGTGATTATAGCCCACTTGATAAATTGCTTTTTGTGCGGCTTAGTTCATCGTTTAGTCCATATTTTATTTGGCTTATTAATTTTCGTTCTATTCTTTGGGGGTGTTGGGGGCCGCCATTGTAGCCGCAAATTTCAATTATAAAATGCTGTCGCGAACAGCAACAGCAGCAGCAGCAGCAGCACCGACAGCATCGTCCAAGTGTTGCCTCTTAGAATTTCCGTTTCAATTTAACAAGACTTTCTTTCTGGCTTCCCCGCTCTCGCACTCGCGGTCTCCCTCTCCCCCTTATTCTCTTTCTCTTTCACTTGAAGCATTTTCAATTTGTTTAATGCAATTGGGGGAACTTTCCATCTGAAAAAGCGCGTCAATTGATGCACTTAGGCGCTAAGATCTCGTCGCACAAAAGGTTCACGGCCAGACGAGTGCACAGATGTGGCAGAGGGAGTGGCAGCATTGCAATGGGGGCAGGGGTATCCAACACACTCAGACTCAGACAGCGGGGTGTGTAAATTGATTTCATTTTTGGGCTTGCCACCACATCCCAGAGAAACAGAGAGGGAGAGAGAGAGTCAGTCATCATCAGACATCAGTGTGAAATATAACTCAAAAAGCGATACGAATTTTGGGGAGGATTCGACAATATATGTATGTACGCTGGGAAAGACCCGTGGAGACGCAGACCGCGACAGAGACAGAGTCAGAGTCTCTGAGACCCAACCCAAGGTCTGGGAGACATCAAGGGGTGCCACTGTTTCGGTATTCAGTTTGAATTTACTTTGGTTGGGCCTTCAAAATGCATTCCAATTGCCAGAGGTTCCCAGTTCCCATGGAGGAGGAGGCAGGGCCCTGGGAGAAGAGAATCCATTCTTTCGTGATGTTATATGAGCTGAAAACTGTTTGAATGGATGATTAACATATATGAATGGGATGGGATGGGATGGCATCTGATGGTGTTCCTCTACCCATTTGTTGCTGTTGTTGTTTGTTTTTCGCATGATATGGAATATGGATATGGAGCATATGACACACGCATTCGGGTGGGTAGGGGGGCGCTAGCCAAAGGGTTCGTTGTGTTCACTCCTCTCTCTGATTCATCGCATGGCCGCCTGTGGGCTTTATCTTTGCTTTGCAACAGGAAGTGCTACTGCTACTGCCACGACAATCCTCCTCCGCTTGACCCTTCCCCCCAAGCGATTTAGCATTCAATGTGAATGCTTCGGCACGCCCATATCATCATCAGAATCAACCACATCCTCATCCTCTCTTCCTGCTGCTGCTGCTGCCTTGGCCTTGCAATTCTGTGTGTAAGCATAAAGGGAAAAGTGGAAAGGAAAAATATTGAGAAATAAGGGAAAACAATTCACCGCCATATGCGAGCGAGCGGGCAGGAGGCAGGGGGCATGGCCATGGGATATGTGGGTCTCTTAGGTTCCAGTTTGAGGCCAAGAGTCCGAAATTCTTGATCCCTTTTATGGGCAATGTGTCAGCAACCGAAAATTGCTTTTGTATTTACACACAGAACAACAAAATTTGTTCCTTATCATT